TCCTGTGACACAACTTTCCTTAATTATAAAATGAGTCTAATCATACTTGTTTGATGGGAAAGTCGTGATAATCAAGTGGGAAAAGTCATTGTCCAGCAAGTGGCTCATGGTAGGAACTCAGTAAATAGTCCTTGAATTTCTAGTTGGTCCCTTATTTGTCAAATTAAAGGGCCTAGTCCTCTAGAGTAATTTCAGCTCTAAGAGAATATGATTTTAATTATTTTTGACATTTATGTCCATTTATATGATTCCCCTTTTCTCTAACTTAAAGAACATTGGTAGAAAGTGTTTTTGTTTGTTTTATTTTTGTGTGAAATCTCCATCCTTAGGTATGAACTGTCGCATTTTGGTTCCCCCACAACTTTAGGAGGAGTATTTTTCTTTCATTTAATTTTTAACAAATCAATTGACAGTTTACTTGACTGAAAAATCTTATTTTAGATAGCTTTAAGAGAATAACTATGTTGAAAAAATTCTGAGATGTTTACAGTCATTCTTGATGTAAGCTGTCAAAAAGAACTGAACATTACTTATATGAATGCCACTTCCTCTTCACAGAAGTATAACATGGTATCTTTTTGCGGAAGTGTGTAAGAACGAATTAGTTGATAGAGCAGTCTTTGTAAGAAATCATCATGGTGGAATTTCTGCAAAACACTGGTGTAAAACTTCAAACTTTGAATGAATATAAAACAGGATGGAAAGCCATAAATTTCTCTGGAAAAAAATGTGATTAAAAAACTCAGATGGTGGATCCTTTGTAAAAAGTCACTTTAATTTGGAGTCTTTTTTTTTCTCTCAAAAATATATAATGTTATTTAAAGGGGAGGTAAGTTAAACATCATTGGATACTTGTGTGTATTTTAATTTTAAAGTGTCTTTCAGTTTGAGTTTATACCCCAGTTAAGGTGTAGGGTAAAACAAAAATGAGAATTGGTACCAAAAAAGAAGAAAAGAAAAAAAAGCAAGAGTAAAGAAAGATAAATAGGAGGAGAGAAACAATTTTTAAAAGAGAGAAGGAAGTAGGAATGGGAGGGGAGTTGCCTGTGTTACTTCCTGAGGTGAACGTCGGAGATGCTGTCGAATGTAGGCTGACTTGGTCATCCCTGCTCTCCTCTGCTCTTCTAAATAATTTTTTTTTTAACACTGATCTCTGCTCTTCAGCCACACTGACATTCACTTCGTGAAGTTCTAGGATCAGAATAGCTGGAGTGGAGGTTGCTACTTAAGCTGCGGGAGAAATGACCAGAGCTATGTGCCCAGAGACTAGAAAGAATTACACTGATGGGTGATCTGGCTCCTCCTTTGGATCCTCACTGCTGACACCGAACTGTGGAAACAGCGCAGTGGCCGGCAGAGAATCAAGTGTTTCCCACAGTGGGAAGGCAGCTATTGAAGGCTCCTGTGAGTAGTGACTAGTGAACCGTGACGTCTCTGGTGTTAGGCACCCACTGCCCATCCGTGTGAGTTGAACTCAAGAGGGACATTTCTTCATCACAGCTTTACCTTTTCAGTTAGCCCATCCAGAGATCGAACTGGTATCTCCATTTCAGCTGGGAACTGGCTGGGAGACGCTGGCGGTCATGACACCTCCCTGGGTCTCAGTCTCCTCTAAGTGATGAGGACAGTGGCTGCGATGGCTGCCAGCGACTCCAGCCTTCTCTGGCTTTGACCCAGAGGCTGGCCGACCACTCACTGTCCACAGGCCAAATCCAGCCTGTTGATATGCCTGTTTTCACATGTTTCAGGATCAAAAGCATAATATTTTGACACACATGAAAATTCTGTGACATTCAAATTTTGGTGTCCATAAATAAAGCAGAGCACAGCCTCCCTCATTTGCTTGTGTGCTGTCTGTGGCTGCTGTCGGGCCATGAGCAGGGAGTGGGTTGCCGTGACAGAGCCTACGTGGCCTGCAAAGTCGAAAATAGTTACTATCTGGCTTTTTACAGGAAAGTCTGCAACCTCTACTCTAACCCGAACACACACTTGAGACCATGCCTTTTGGATATTGAGAGCTGCACTCTTTTGTTTGTTTGTTTGTTTAAATTGAAGTATAGTCAGTTTACAAGGTGTCAGTTTCTGGTGCACAGCATAATGTTTCAGACATACAAACACATACATACATTCTTTTTCATTATAGGTTACTACAAGATATTGAAGATAGCTCCCTGGGCTACACAGAAGAAAACCTGTTCATCTATTTTATATATAGTAGTTATTACCTGCAAGGGGCTGCACTCTTACAGCCTTAGTATTACCTAAACTGAACTTTGATCTAGATTTAATTAGATTAAGATGGGAGATTCTTATCTTTATTTTCTCCAGGAGAAAGTAGAAGCTTAGTTAGCTTTCTTGGTATGCTTTTAATTAAAAAAAAAATCCTCTTTAAAACAATTGTTTGTACTCAGATTTTTTTTTTCCCTCTAGGAATCACTGTAGAAAAGGAAGCCATGTGTTTATATTTTAAATCATTTGCCTTTTAAACTGGATTTTTAAAACTCCAGATGTGGACTCAGAAACAGTTAAAATGTACAGTTGATGCTCTCAAAGAGCCAAGATGGGGGAGTAGATTTTTACTTCTTATATTTGAGAGTGAAACAGAAGTCTTAATATTTTCTATTTCCCATTGTGTACTAAAAATGCTATTCTTAGTTTCTTTGAGTAGAGATTCCAGACTAATGTGCGCATGAAAATAGTTTTAATTTAATGGAGAGCCAGTTTAAACAATTAAATACATTTAAAAGGCACACTTAATTATTACAAAAGGAAAATACAAAATTAAGAAAGAAATATCAATCGTATCTACTTATCTAATGTTTCTGATTATTCTAGAAAGTTCTCTCTTAAGCTAGTCTGGTTGTTTCTGCATGAGTTATGAGTTTGGGTGAGTATGAGGCTGTGAGGCCGTGTATGTGTGTGTGTATGTGTGTGTGGTTTCCAGTATTCACAGCATTATAATTATAAAGAGAATGTGCCTTGCACTCTTGCACTTCCAGAATCGTTTGAATTATTCTAAAACTCCTCCTAGGCTGGGAGTTCTTTTTCATGCTGGAAGAAGATGGACACCTTGAACTGGTTAGTGAGGAGCAGAAGGGAGGTCAGTCAACACATGTCATCTTATAAAAGTTTCATTTTTCTCTCATTTTACAGAGAGAAAGAATTAAGAGTGAAAAGACTTGTTGATAAAGATTTGTAAAGAAACTCTTGTATAACTTTAGAAAACACTGACATGACTCTGTACCTAAGGTACCTGAAGACCTCCAACATTTTCTGAACATTATAAATTATCTAGAGGAGATGGGAGGGCTAAAATCCCCATTTTTCAGAGGGAAAAGCTGAGGCCGGCAGCTGTTCTTGGCTTACTGCCTCTCAGTGTGGGTAGAGCTCTTGTTTTTCTGGGCTTTGTTTGAGGTGCATTTCATTTGCCTGCCCTGTTCTTAAACAGCGCTTGTAAAATCATGTGTCATTTCTACAGTTATATTTAGGATACAGCTCGAAACACTGTATAAACACGCTGTGATAGAGGACGGACGTCTGCCGCCTGCTAATTATTACATGGCTCTAGTATCACATCATCTGCGTTATCCAGATTAGAACTGTATCACCCACTTCTAAATTGGTCTAGAAGAGGGAGCCCATTGTGTATAGGGACAAAAGGATGTTGCCTCCTGGTTCCCCTTTGGGTGAAAACTCTTTGATACACAGAAGGCCCTGGAACCCCATTCTTGCTTGAAAACGCTTGTAACTGGGCATAGTGCTGAAATACGAAGGCTTTCCCACACCCTCACCCCCCATATACCTCCACCTCGTGCTTTGTTTTGTTTTTTAGGATTTCATGAGAAATTTCTGGCATTGCCATCTGAAGGCAGTGTTTGTCACAGAACTGCTTAATCCTTAGATGTGTCTAAATACAGATGTACTAAACGAGCACTTTCATTTTCCTTCTTACATGGAAGGGGGCGGGTTTCTTGGTTGAGCCTCTCACTTCTGGTTTTAAGCCATTTTTAGCTCCTTGATTAGTGTGTGGCTTGGGAAAGTAGGAGCTAAGCCCTTTATTTGCTCTTCACTTCTGGAGGAAAGTGTCTGCAGCCCCGCTTTTTGGTATGCAGGGCTCTGGGGAACCTGGTAATAGGTTATCAGTAACTGTGAATAGAATGAATGGTCTAGTGCTGGTTTCTGCCGCTGTGTTTTCTCCTTCCCCACCATCCTTTCCAGCTCCTTACTGTTTACTTTCTTTCCTCCTCCTGAAATCATTAAAATGAAGCCAGGAAGGATAGGACATGATTAATTTTTTGTTATATAAATAGCCCTAGTAGAAGGATTGCTGGTGGAAAATATTGCCAAGTTTTTGGGTGGATTTTTTTCTTGGTTCCCTGTTAAATATGTATAATTAAGAATTGTGTGACTGATATGTCATGACCTGAACAGATCTGAAACAGCTCCACCCACCGCCCCCAGTCAAGGAAATAGTATAGGAAGAAATGTTTGGTTATCATTTTTTTTTCAATATTTGCAAGATTTTAGACAGGCTTTAACTGAGACGGCTCTTTAAAGACTTGCACAGGAAGTCGCTGTTGATGTGGGTGCTTGGTTTAAAGTCCCAAGCTAATTTGGGCCCAAAGGAGGCAGAATATGATTCTCACCACTGATCTTGGATGGACCAAAGTGGGGGCCACGCCAGGCCATCTAATAATGCTCACAAACAGCCCTGCAACATTTTAACCCTCAGCTTTCACTTGCAAAAGATTTTTACAACTATGTCTTCCCCTGCACATCTTTTTTTAGGTTGACATCGAAAGTTTTTCATCATAAAGTTTGAAAAATACAAAGGATGTGATTCCTGGAATAATGTAAATATTGACTTTTAAAATGAAAAAGTTACATCACTGTTTAAAATGTATTGAATGGAATTTAAACACTATTGGGATTTGATATGCCCCATCATCACTTAAAAATACACGAGCAGAGGGGAGTGTACAGCTCAGTGTAGAGTGCACGCCTAGCATGCACGAGGTCCTGGGTTCAATCCCCAGTACCTCTATTATGTAAGTGAATAAATAAATACAAACCTAGTACCTCCGAAAAAAAAATTAAGTGGGTTCTAAAAAAAACCCCCCAAAACAAAAACATGAGCAAGCTCTTCAATAGTCTGAACTTTTACATTGTTCCTTTTCCTCCTTGAATTCGTACTTCCATTCCCCTTCCTCACAAGGAATTTTACCCAAATATAATATGTTAAAAACCCTGATTATACAATAATACTTTGCAGTTAAAATATGATCCTAAGGTGGTAAGGATTAAACACATTTCTGGATTGAGTTTATCTGTATAATAATTATTAGCAATCTGTTGAAACATAAATATATTACAAAGTTTGATAAGTTATTAATAAAACATGCAAAGTAAAACCTTGTTTGAAATGCCTTTCTTAAATCTCTGGATGAGGCTTTCTTTTCTTGTTTTAAGTTGGTTCGTGTGTTTGTGGAGAGCATAACATTGCTGGGGTGATACAGGGTGTCTTTAAAGAAAGTTCTCCTGAGCTGCAGCATTTTGAATGTGCCCTTTCGTTGGCACCAGGGCGTTGAGCACCTTGAGGACAGTTCCCTTGGTCAGAATCAGCGGGTGAGAGGTAAGGCTCCCTTTTGTCACATGGGAGAAGGAAGATCCTCGGAGGGATGTGTGAGGAAAGCAGCCGCGGGCCTCCCGAGCCACGAACCGCGCGCAGATGCGGTGGAGGAGTGCGGACGTCCGGAAGCCGAGGAAGTGGGTCGTGATTCCCGCGATTCCCGCAAACAGCCTGTGCCTGCAAACCTCGCACGGAATCTTCCTGTGCTTCAGGGCCGCGGGGCCCCGCGTGCAGCCGCTGCTCTAGACAGGCCACCGTGGAAGAGCTGATGTCATCATGGGGGCGACCTGCATTCCTGGGCCAACTGGGTCACCAGGTCACCTCAAGTGTGAGTGACAGACACATCGGTCAACTCTCGTTGGCAATACAGAGCTTTGAAAGCTTGTGCTTGCAGTTTTGAAAAACCAGGCTCGTATGTTAGCTTAAAACTTTAACTTACATTTTTAAACATTTTTTCTTTTCTTTCTTTTTTTTGAGATCTCACAATTAAAAAAAATCCTCCATTTGTGATTTTTTTGGGGGTGGTGGTGGAAGTAATTAGGTTTATTGATTGATTGATTTGCTTAATGGAGGTACTGGGGATTGAACCCAGGACCTTGTGCATGCTGAACACACACTCTACCCCTGAGCTATACCCTCCCTACAAAACTTTAACTTTTGAAGGTAAGGTAGAGGGATATGTAATAGGGCTTTACATATATTCTTACTTAAAAAATATTTAAAACTTACTAAGTCCAATGACACTTCTTTCATGATCTCTTTGTTTCTGAAAGAGAATTCCAGTAAGTAGATCCTTGATGAAAAGCTGGTTTTGTATGTACGGACAACTTATCTCTCCAACTTATGAAGCTTTATGGATGCTCAGGAGACTTCCTGTCAAGTGTGTTGAATCTGGTGTCTGTGTGCCCCTCATATTCCAGTCTGTGCAATAATAATAGCAGCTTGTTAGCAATGGTGTTTCTCATTAAATTTTAAAATTTAAAAGAAAATAACAATAGATTTAAAAGGTGGGGGAAGGTATAGCTCAGTGGTAGAGTGCATGCTTAGCATGCTGAGGTCCTGGGTTCAATCCCCAGTACCTCCATTAAAAAAAAAAAATCAGTCAATCAAATTACCTACCCCTCCCCAAACAAACAAACAAAAAAACAACAAAAACATAAAAAGAAAAAAATATGTATATGTATACCTGAATCACTTTGCTTTATACCTGAAACTAACATTGTAAATCAACTACACTTCAATAAAAAATTACTAAAAAAAATTTTATTAGAATTTGGTGTCTTTGAAAGCTAATTTCTTATACTTAAAGACCCAGATCCTGCTTTTATAACTGATTTTGGGCAAACTAGTTGCTTGTGGAAGTACATCTGACAGCTACTTTGGTTGGTTTGTCAATTCCAGAATTAGCTAACAAGTCCCCTGTTTCCCTAAATTGAAAATAGATATTATATCTGGGCAGTTACCAAAAATGAGGTGATATATCTAGACATAAAACTCAAAATGATGTATGGTTGTATGTGTCTATTGAATGGATTTGTCTGGCTTTTCTATGCAGTGTTTCAACAACATCAAAAATGGTTCTTTAAAGAGAATGCTGACATCCGATGACGAGTGTTGCTGGTTCTTCTCTGGCTCATCTCTAGACCAAACAGAAACACGTATCCTCTCTGCCAAGTATTCTGTGATGTCACAAGGCAGGCCCTACAGCACAGCAGCTTTTCCTTACACTTTTCCTTTTCTGGCTGCAGGAGATTTAACCTCTTCCTTGACTATTCTACCCATTTTTTTTTTCAGTTGGAGCATATATACTATTATATTACCTAGGATATTTAGTAGTGTTAATTCTATTAAAAAATAGATTTTATTTTTTAGAGCAGTTTTGGGTTCACAGCAAAACTGAGCAGAAAGTACGGAGTTCCCTTATACTCCCGGCCCCTTATGCACACAACCTCACCCACTCTCAACATCTGGAACCAGAGTGATAGACTTTTTACACTCCCTGAATCTGGATTGACTTCATTATCATCCAAAGTCCGTAGTTTACATTAGGGTTCACTCTGGGTGTTGTACATTCTATGGGTTTTGACAAATATTTAATGACATGTATCTGCCATTATAGTACCATGCAGAGTAGTTTCACTGCCCTAAAAATCCTCTGTGCTCTGCCCATTCATTCTTCTTCTTTAACTCCTGGCAACCACTGGTCTTTTAAAGTCTCCATAGTTTTGCTTTTTCTGGAATGTCATATAGTTGGATAGATTCTTTTTAAGAGGTATATAATTGGGTAAGAGATTTTTGGAACTTAAAGGGATCTTAGTTTCCATTCTGTGGCTTTTTCATGCTTACCAAATTTACCTATTTAACAGCTTGAATAAAAACCAACCTGTTGCACTTCACAGGTAAAAAGATACTTTACATTGTTTAGAATCAAGTTAAATATTTCTGGGAGATGTATGTATGTATATGCAAGACTGGGACATTGTGCTGTACACCAGAGATTGACATGTTGTAATTGACTGTACTTCAATTAAAAAAAAATAAATTAAATAAAAAACATTTCTGGGAGAAGTAAGGAGAAGCATTTTAAAAGAGTCAAGGTGGAAGAAGTAGGAAGAAATTCTTTCTGTCCTTAGGAACTCCTTGAAGTATTCTTAAACCAACTTTTGTTGCCATTTTGATAGCATTTTGGGCCATCTTTGAATTAAATAAAAAGAGATTGCTTTCAAATTGGGAGAACTAATATTAAATAGAAGTATGCTCAATTTTATTGCAAGGTGGAAATGGAATCTATTGAGGCAAAAGATGTTTGGAAAGGACAATGTGCTTTAATAGTGTCACGGAGAACTCTTGTAGAGCAGCAAATGACTGCGTTGGCCAACCAGCTACAATAGCCAAATGAAGTCGTTCTCTTCCTTGTGCCAGATTGGCCAGTTTGCCCCTTTACTTTGTAAATTGGGTGGTAGTGCTATGAGACTCACCCAGAAGCAGCTCTGGGGCTCAGGCCTTTTGTGTGGGAGATGGGATTGTTGAATGGCTTCCACCAGCGCTCAGTGATAAAACTGGCAGCCTTGATTCTGCCCCAGAGGCGACCACATTGAAATCGCTTCTTATTTTTTTTTTTAGAGCCTGATACTGTATCATTTTATCCACTTTTTAAAACTCTGCACAGGTTCTATGTCAGCCACAAATGGAGTTTTGTTTTCTTTCCTTTTTGTTTTTCTGTAGTCTCTTTAACCAGGGTTTACTTTGCAGGAACTTATGTTGAGGGGGCATGCCTGAGACTAACAAACAGGCCAAGTCTTTAGGGCTGTGACGTGATGCTTTTATAGTTTAACAGGCTGTGGGTTATGGAAGTAAGTCATAAAGTCACAGAAGGATTTAGTTTCTTGAGAAAGTAAAAATCTACTTAGCATGTTTATGAGAAAGGAGTAAGGGTCATTACCCCATTAGAGGCAAGCCTTAAAGCTCCAGCATCCAACTGGAATAGTCCCCATAGTTTGGCAAGTCACTTTAACCCTTGGCTTCCCTCCCTTTGAGCCTGGTCCTCCAGCTGCTCCATCACAGAAAGGCTACTGTGTCCGGATCACTGCCGAGAAGAGGAGTGGGTAGCATTTTATGGAATCACACATGCTCCACTGACTGACTCTTGGCCTCCGTGGTTCCAGCCACAGGAGGGTTTGTGGAACGTGTTGGTGGGCATTTTGCAATGGAACCCACCAGCCTTTTACAACTCAAACTCCCTGACTTCCCGTCACTTCCTGCAGAGTGTTTGTTGGCAGGCTTAGCGATTTGACTAGAGACCAGTGAGTGATGCTTGTACTTGCTCAGGGGCTAAAGCTCCTGGCTGGGCTTCAAGGTACCCAACGCTCGGAGTGCACAAAGTTGCAATGTCACTGCTTCTGTCATATGAAAAAGGCCCTGCTTACCTAGAAGAAAACAAGGTTTCTCTTGTAAGTAGTTAAAGTTTGACAATTTAAAATTGTTTAAGGAATTCATATTTCTAGAATTCAGTTTAAACACATGCACATGGTTTTTGAATATATGTTGCCTTCATTTCCTGTTAGATCATGTGGTGGTATGTGCTAAGGTTTTAGAGAAATTAATGGAAAAACTAAAAAAGAATAAATATCGTATATCTATAGGTCACTCTATATTATTATTATTTTTTCCCTTCTAAGGATTGGGCAGAGTTTGATTTTCATGGTGAGGCAACTTTGACCTGATGATAGAACATGAATATCCTGGGGGTCAGTAGTTGGAAACCTCTGGACCAAAATGCAGGGAAAACTCAGAGGAATTCTGGTAGCTTCTCAGAGGCCTGAGGGACCCTCGTTCATTCTTCTTGTGCAGTTTGATGTTGTTTGCAAAGGGATCTCACTAAAGTGAGTTCCCTGTCTTAATGTCACTAGGTGTAGATGTCTGTCCATCTTTGGAGGTACTTTGGGAGATGATCTTCTAGCAAGTGAACCTGTTACATGCCTGTTTGTGTGAGGTCTGATGCTTTATTTTCTCCAGAAGAAAATGTAGATATTTCAAGACTGTAAATTCTATTAAGCATTTTCACTTTCGTTTCCCTGTAACCGTCAATCCAGCAAAGAGACAGTGTCCTCAACCTTTTTGGGAAATAGTTGTCCACCTTTCTCTTCATTTTCTTCCACTTGGCCAACCAACAATTGCTTCACTTAATTAAAACTGGAAAACCACTAGTAGCCCTGGTAGGAGGCACCAGCCCCTAGGGAACTGACATCAAATTTCTTTTGAGGCTGCTAATTTCCAAAGCCAGCAATAGGATGTAAAGCACCTCTTTTGATGAATCTAGCAGCAGATGTGTTTGGAAAATGAGGAAATGTTGCTGCTGGCTTGCTAAAACTGTATACTGTAATGGGGTGTAGCTTGCCTGGTGTTTTCTCTACTAAGAGAATGGAGGCAAACTTTTTTCCTTGGAACTTAAAATGTCTATAGTACTCTAAAAGCCTCCTGGGAATTTGAAACTGCTACTTGCTTGCTTCTAACTTTCCCTCATTTTCTTCTCAGCAATGGAAGGGAAGTTTAAGTTGTTTAAATCCACAGTATATTCTATCTTCTGAGACTTGGTGGTAGGTGCTACTTCTAAATCAGTGTTCTGTCTAAAACCTTCTAAAATGATTCTGAAATGAATATGGAAACTGCAATGTCTACCATGTTTTCCAATGAAATTTTTTTTTACTGGCAGGCCTTAGAGAAAGAGGACTGAAGAGGCTGTCGTGAGGGGCAGTTGCTGATGGTGTGTGTGTATCTTGACTGCTAACCTTGGCAGTTTATAGGATTAGGCTGGCAAGGGGTGTGTGACAGTGTGTGTTTAAGAGTTTGAGGATGAGTCTGGCATTTGGTGACAGGTAGTTTAACTTAGAGCGTTCCAGCTGGGGCTGTTGGAGTGGTTTTGACGCGGTAGGACGCGGTAGGATGAGGTTCTGGGCGTGCCTAACAGATGTCAGGGCCACCATGGGAGGTTGAGAGATGAACAGAGAGGAGGCATGATGTTAGGATTTTGGAAGGCTGGGAGGAAAGTGTTTGAGCCCAGCTCTCTACCTTCTTTACCTTTAGGGAGGATGAAGATGAAATATTTGAAATGGAATGAACGATGATTGAAATAGATGTGGTTAAAACTGTGGATGTGGGTGAGTTCTCCAAGAGGAGGAAAAGCCAGATGGATGATCAACGAAAGGGCCAACTGCTTCTGTAGCCAGAGAATACACCATAGGTCTCTGCTTTTATGAATTAAAAACATAGCAGCTTCCAGATTTTTACTTGGCACATTAACTAGTGGTATTCTGTATCTGTTTAGAAGCTTTTATTCTATAATTCCTTTAGAAAAGTCCCTTGTAGATGTTTTTTTTTCAGAGACAGAAACCTCATAGGAATACTTTTATAGAAGTGTATTTTTCTGTAATCTAACTTCACTTAGATTAGCCACTACCCACAAGATCGGTTAATTTCTCTTGCCAGCACGTGGAGACTGGTGAGAAAAGTTGTTGATCTCTGTTCGTTACCCTTCTCTGCTATGGCCCAAGCGACACCAAACTGCACTAGTGAGATTTTCTTACAGTGATACTTCTTAAATTAAAAAAGCCAATCCTGATGAATTCCCCTAGGAACCAACAAAATGGAATACAATTCATTTTTCCACCAGTAAATACTTACTGAGTCCTGTAAAACTTCATGCTAGTCTCTGGGCAAGAGCCCCTGGATATGTCTTTCAATACTTGTTCTATTGAAATTTCAGTCTTAATTTCCATGTTAACATATAAAGCAATTCAAGTAAAAATTGACAGTGAAACAATTGCTAGCGTGATGAAGTGGATACAAAACCGTCCTGTTCTTCATAGAAACCTCACTATTGAAAGAACAAACTAAACACCTGGATGACAATAATTACCAAATAAATATATGCTTTAATATCTTATGTAGTAATATTTTAACAACTTACAGGAATGATTTCTCAAAAAAGTTTAATGTAACAATGACTGTCATTGAAATCTCTATTACCAAAGTAGACTTTTAAAATTACATTTCCCTCTTGCAACCATTTTTACAGCAATAAAGGAGGAATCAGCAGGGGGCGGAGAAGGTCAGGCTTGGACACTGTATCAGGCTGGAGCAGGTCAGGATGCTGTCTGGTAAGGGAGGGGTTTGGATTTTGATGTGGAGAGATTTCCAATATTGAACTGTTTCAAAGAGTAGCTCACTGATATCAATTCTCATACTTAACTGGGCACCAGATGTGGAGGGGTTTTATTGAAGGAGGAGCCCTGTCAATTACTCTTTTTCCTTTTGCCACATATCTTGATGGGATGGACAATACTCTGTATTCTCAAGTCACTAAAAGGAAGGGAATACTATTCTTGGAAATATTTTTATAAGCCTAGCGAAACAGTATTGTGAACAGAACTAAGGCTTAAGACTGTTAATGTAAAGAACATTCTAGTAGCCTTTTTAAAAATTAAAAAAAATTTAAGACTTTTTTTTAATAAAGAAAAACAAACTCTTAGCTGGAGAAGTTTAGGAAGATAGTAACAAGATAAAGTGCAGTGGTCCCCCCTTATCTGGGGAGGGACGGGAAACATCCCAACACCCCCTTGAATGCCTGAACTCTTGGCTAGTTCAGACTATGTTTTCTCTTGTACATGCATACATACCTGTGATAAAGGCTCAGTTATGAGTGAAGCACAGTAAGAAAATATCTGAATTGCTAGCATCACTGTCCCTGTGCTCTGGGGCCATTAAGTAAAGTAAGGGTTACTTGAACACAAGTGCTGTGTTAGTGGACAGGCTGATAACCCAGATGGCTCCTAAGTGACTTGTTGGAAGGATACCTGGAAAAAGGGATGCCCCACATCCCAGGCCGGACAGAACTAGATGTCATCACACTACTCAGAATGGTGCTCAACTTCAAACTTACATGTTGTTTATTTCTGGAATTTTCCATTTAGTATCTTCTGACCGTGGTTGACCTTAGGGAACTAAAGCCGCTGGTAGGGGAACTACTGTGATGGAGGAGAAAAGTCTAACTATGTTAGCTATTGATTGGTAACATGTGACTGTTAGTTGGTAAGATTAATCTCTCAATTAGTGATCGACTGACGTGGGTACCTGTGTTTGTCAAATAATGATAGCACCTCTTAGCAGCTGTTGCCTTGCAGCCATCAAGTCAACAGCACAGCTGCTCCTAGTCCACCAGAAGGTCTTCAGTGAGGCTTCTCGGGACTGTGAAGGTAGCCCAGCCCTTGCTCAAGGCCTCCGCATTCCACCCCGACAGACCTGAAACCATGGAGTCAGTCTGAAATCTCTCCATTTCTCTATTAAGTTTGTGGTTCAGGCACAGGTAACTGAAAACAGATGTGCTGAGTGAAAACTGCTAGTTTTCTTACTGAGTTTCTGGTGATGGGGGTGGGGAGCGAAATCTGTGTCTCCCCAACCCTTTGTGCTTTTGTTTCGTGCAGTCTTCCAGTCTCAGCAATATGTGCCTGCATTCTGTCCACGTGCTTTCTTTTTTGTTTCTGAGAGGGGTTGCTGACAGAGGTGGAGGGAGCCGTAACCTACTTTTTCTTTATGCTGATCTCCTTCTCCTGTTGCCTGTTTCCTGCCTGCAGACCGAGATGGGCCCTGTGGGACCAGGGTGATTTTCTGACCTAGCAGTCGCCTCTTAGGATTCTTTTGTTAAACATTCATTAAGCTATTTGACAGCCCTTGGGACACAGTGAATCGGCAGTCCAGTCACACGCTCAGGCTAAAAGAGAGGGCAGTGATTGGACAGTAGGAAAGAGAAATAAGATGATTTAAAGACAGAAGTATCTCTTAAACTGTAAGTCCCAGGGAGGACCAAATTCTGATAGTGGAGATGGCTGAGGAGTGATGGCAGCAAACCTTCTGTGAGCATCCACCATGCACGGGGAGGAGGCGAGATACTAGGGAAGTCGGTACGAGAGGCTGTGGCTGGGAGCTGCGCAGTCTTCCTGGGGCAAGTTTGGGGATAAGGGAATAAAAATCCACAACGCAGGCACATGCAGTGCCAGCTGATTGCCATCAGGGCAGCTCAGGGAGAGAGAGCATCCAGGGCAGGACGTTTCCTGAAAGGCAGCCTTGTGGAGGATATGAGATTTGAGCTGGTTTTTAAATGCCTCATGGTAGGAGTTTGACAAACTGGGGAGAAGGAGGAAGGGGGCATTTGGGGCAGGGGTCAGCAAAGCAAGAGAGAAAAAGGAAGCTCTGCGCTGGGTTTCCAGGAGCAGTGACGCCAGCAGTTGACTGGAGCAGAGGGTTTACACAGGCAATGGTGGGAGATGGATGGGAGAGAATGGGCCCCAGAAAAGCTGCTAAGGAGTTGGGGTTCCATGGGGAGCCACAGAAGACTTGATCAGGGGTTGTGATGTGTGCAAAGTAGTTCTTTAAGACAAATCATCTAATTGCGATGTAGAACATCGATGGCTTGTTCACTGCCTGGCTATGTGATACTGTTTCTGAAGCCACCTTCCAGTTAGAAATGCATTTTGATTGTCTGCAGGCGGGCCCCCTGGCATCGCATCAGGAACTGACCGTCGTAGTCTTGTTAGTTAGGAGAGGAGAATGTTTTATTACCAGCTTCTCTTAAATCCAAGGAGGCAATATGTTATCAGTCTTTGAAATGTGGGCTGAACGATGGATATGCGATAGACTCTTAAATACACTGCTGAGCTCAGCCCTGCAATCATGTGGTTATGAAATATTATCCAGCCTGAAACCATGAGAAAAAAACCCTCTTAGTCTGACCTACTCACAACACATGCTATGAGAATCTAGTCTTTGAAGTGATATGGAAAAACTGGAGAACTGCTGACTGCACGAAATGTAAATGAGAATTCCATGTGGAGGCAATTCTTCTCTTACTCTGGGTATTTCCTTCTCTTGAATGTTGGCTCCAGAGCACACCACCTGTTTCTGCTCCAAATGTTTCCAA